AGGCAGGTAGATGACTTTACGCGGCGCCCGACATGCACTGTCAACAGTTTGTTTCAACAGCAGCTGTTTCCTCCTCCTATTTTCTACCACAGGGCCTCATCAAGAAAGGGATGGAAGAAAAAAGAATCATCTCTCAGCTGAGGACGGCAGGAGAAGAGCCACAGCCCTTCAGAAATCAGACTTACCAGCATCCTAGAAGCCGAGTGGCCGCTGATGGTTAATCAGTTCATGTTTAACTACATTACATGCCTGTTTTCTGCAGTGGCATACCATATAACCCTAATTTAAAGCCTTAGGAGAGAATAAGCACCATCCTGTGGAAAGAGCAAAGCCCAAATGACAACAGAGAGCTCAAGTGCAGAATATCCTCTATCTCTTTGAACCCTGCGAGACTGATAATCCTCTATTCATCCTAAAAATGTAAACAAGGTGTATTTCACTGCTATGAATACAGGAGCAACGGGAATTTCTATAGTAGGCTTGTAAGCGCACAAGGGTAGAGCAGCCACGGAAAGGTAATCCATAGAGTTATAAATGGCGTGCAGAAAATAGAGAATCAATAGTTCTTTAATGTGAACATTTCAATTGGTTTCATATAACTACAACAATCAGATTGCTCTATATAATGGTGTCAGGGAGATCATTGCAGAGGTCAAGAGCCTGATATAATGAATGTTTTATACTATGCTTAAAACAGATACACAGATTGATTAACCAAACAGAGAAGAGAATTTTCTTGTTATTTACTCAATTTTAGTCCAAAACGAAATCAGTGTGGCCTTGCTCTGGGATGCTGGCTCATTAAATTGTTCCACTAATCTTGGAAAGCAACGGCCTTGATATAAAGGGACCCTCAGAGACACATTGACCTTCCGTTTTAGAGACACTGCGGGGTAAATCCACTGTGGCAGTATTTCCTTTTTCTTACTTAAAAATTCTTAGAAATGGAGATCTAATAATGTGTGTTAACAAGTTGTGTCATCCTCCCCAACCTCCTTCAGTTAAGCTGAGACCAATTACAGCCAAAAATACCCACAAGTGTGTTCAACAATGGCAGCCAAACCAACCATAACATTTCTTCATTTTGGACAAAGCATATGAAAATGATGCTGTTTATCCTCTCGAGCGCGAGCAAGGCTCTTAAAGCGCTTGCGGCTAAAGATTAATATGATATGACAAAAAAAAAGGCATGAATCACACAGGTCTGAAATAGCAGTTACTTCATACAGACTCCTCACTCATATCTTATCATCATACGCCGCCAACGGTATGATGCATACATGAATGCCATACATTTTTAATAAGGCTATGTTATGGACAGCTAATACGCCACAAGCATGTGACATCCATATGTCACTGTCAGAGAACAAGAGTGAAAAAATTCCCATATCTTTCTGCCTCTGAGGCTGCCATGATTATTTATTTATTCATGGAACTGAAAGCGCGATTCATCGCGGCAGTCTTTTTTGGCTGCCAGAAGATTAGGAGGGACAATCTGGCCCTAGTGACGGCACATTATTCCGGACAGTGAAATACTAGAGACAGCTGTGTCACTCCAGTGTGAGGCAAACACAAAGGCCATGCCTTAGGGTAGTATATGCTGAGTAATTATTACTGTCACTCTGCCACAGAGCCCTGTGGGGCTCCACAGGTGGCCATGAGGTGAAGATGAAAACAGACATAAGGAACAAACTATTAGTAATAAACACATTCAGTTTTGCATCACGCTGGTAGAGGATGTGACACACCGCTACTGCTATGCTAGTGTTGTCAAAGCTAGTCAAGGCAAAAGTGATGTTGATAAAATCTGAAAGTGTGATTGTATTTGATCACCACTAGAATGCACAATCTACAGTACACGATCCCATGTCATGTTCTACTGCTGGTTTCAGACTTTAACCAGTGGCTCAGCGATGCACAATTATCAAACTCTGTCTTCTTGTGTTGTATGCTGCAGATGATATAATCAAGGAAACACTACTTTACATACCTCCTGCTGTCCTGCTGCTCTACATTTCAGAGGAATGTCATTGATTTCTCACCTCTAATGCCAAACAAATGCTGCACATATGACCTTCTGTTATGGCACAAAAGTCACCTAACCTGGGGTTAAATGCACCTGCCCAGCACCAAAAGGCAGACAGACACACTATAAGGTAAACACTGTGAAACACAGAGGAGTTGGACCAAAACATTAGGAATTCATCAGGTGGCCAGAAACACAGTTCCCACCGAATGCTAATGTTTATACATGTTTGCTGAATGTCAATTGGCAACTTCCACAGCACAAATCAATTATCATTTAAACAAGATTATTTAATGTTTGACAGAGGAAATAAATAAGGACATCTTTCTCCCTCAAGTGAAGGTTGAATTTGTGAGCTACATGGTTAGAGTAGCAAATCAAACAAGTTGATGAAAAGTTTTAATGATTGCTTGGTCATTTGTTGTCTCTGTCAGGTTCTAACTGCAAATGTAGTTTTTACATTGACAGATGCTCCTGTCAAAGGGGTGAGATCATTAAAATTGACATCTAACTTTGAGTCACTGTTTTTTTTTTTGTTTTTTTGCACATGCTGTCAGACTTTTAAATGTTTTGAGGCCCCAGAGAGGTTTCCTTCGTCGATTCAGAGCACACCAACACACTACTTTCTCCCATCTTAATCTCTCCAAGTTTCGTCCTGCCTGCCATCCAGGTGCAGCCAAACCATCAGTCAACAGCTCAAATCATTGCCTCTGTCAGTTAACAAGTTCTGGAAGGAGGCTTCCTCGAGCAGACAAATGTGAGGCCATCAGCACTGCCCAGATGCAAATTGTTTTTATCAGCCACCAAAGTGCGAGTGCTTAGTTGTTGCTACAGGGTCCTTGCAGCCTGCCTGTTTGCCTGTCGGCCTGATATTTTAAATCCTGATCTAATCTGACGGCCACAGCATTTCAACTCTCAGGAGATTTTTTTTTTTACAATTTCTTCTGAAAGTACTTCACAGATACCAATGAACCACTACAAAAGAAACAACAACAAAAAACACACTCTAAATATATTTGCACACCTGAAAAAAACTCCTCAACACACACATCTCTGAAGTAATTATGCTCAGAAAGATGAAAACTGCACACATGCTCTTGAGATTACATTCATTCTGAACAGAAGGAAACTGAGGGGTGGTTAGCACATGAAATGACTGTAAGTATGAGAAGAGAACTGCATGTTTCTGCTTCCCGACATTACCAGTTTTGAAGGCTCCTGCTGCCAGAAATACTGGTAGGGAATAACAGCAGGTTCTTTGCATAGTGACGGATGACAATTCTCTCAACAGGGCAATGTATGATTCTACTTCAACTCTACACAAACTGCTTCAAACGTCATCATCTGTACACTCACAAGAAGTACGCATTTCCTCTGTTTGACACATTCTAGCCTGAATGAAAAGCAAGCAGTGGCATCAAATAAATAATTCAATAACATGACTCACATCTTTTGTAAAATTAAAAACTGAAACACACAAGTTTGAAATAACTTCATCATCTGTAAGAACATTTGAATTACTTTTTCATTCTTCTGTGGTCCTCCAACACACCCGGAATACATTTAAATACAGTTACTAAGATTGATGTGAGAATGAATGATTTCAAGTCGTTGTATTGCCAACCTCCCATATCCTGAAAAGCATGAAAATCATGTGATAATGAGCATTCAGTCTGTTAGAGACATCCTGCTGCTACAACCAAGATATGCAAGACAGTCATGCAGAGACATCCACCCCAACACAGCAGTGTTGCATTTTAATACATGTGTGCGTGTGTGCATATGTTTGTGTACAACAGAGTAAGCCGATAGGGATTTTCTGCTGTCTTCATCATCACTTGAAGTCAACCCTCAGGCCAAATGGGTGTGGATTTCACTCTCTCACATTCTCTGTGTCTGTGTGTGTGTGTGTGTGTGTGTGTGTGTGTGTGCGTGTGTGTGCATATTCTGGTAGAAAGCTGAAGCTGTAATATGGGTTTGCAATGAATTTGCATAGGTACATACTCCATTATCAACATGCATATCCATTTCTGTATTGTATTTATACATACATGTATGTGTGTGTGTGTGTTGGCCTTGGCCCAGATGTGTTTCACAGCTAAATAACAAAAACATTTGCATTTAGAGCACTTTAATCCTCCTCCTGCGTGCCAGTAATTTTGCTAAAATGTCATTGGTGAAGGGATCACAATCACACCGTTAACCTCCGCCTCAGGTATGCATCCATCAGACTGATAAACATTTTACAGCTTTATTCATTTTCATTACTGCTCCAGCGCAATGAGAGTAATCTTCAGCTTCTACTCAGTTTGTATTGAGACCAAGCCAAAATCCATTTACTGAACAGAAGCAACCCACAGAGCACAATTATGACTCTCATTAGATTTGCACCACCTGATAATTCACTGATGCATTGAAGGCTGATTGCATGATTCATCAACAAGGAGATCAATCAATCCTGCACAATTCTCTGTGACAAAAATCCAGCAGATCAATATAGAGAAGGAACAAATAATGAACCTGTGTGACATCTCAAAGGTGGGGCCCAGATGCATTTTCAGCTTTTTATATTGTTTTAATTTTATCACAGTGCTTGCAAAGCTGAAGCTTGTGGAGTTTGGATGCTGCAAATCATCCAAAAACAACAAATTCAATGGTCATTCATCATTTTGATCTGGGCTTTTTTTTTTTTTTCTTGCTGTGAGGCTTAGTCTAATGACAGAATTTGGTTGCCTTCTAATAGCAGCAGCACACACCTGAATGATGCAGCAAGCTCATGCCTATATCGATTGCATTGATAGAGGCTATACTTAGTTTGAACCCTGTCAGTAGCCTTAAGGCTTCCAGTTCTTAGTCTGGCCAGTATCTGATGTGTGCATAAGATGATAAGTGTTACCCCTGTCGTTCACCAACTGCGTGGATAGATGACAAAAAAAACACAAAAAAAAGCCACGGATCTTTCGAGATAACTTACCCCGAGGATGACAGTGTCTTCTCCCTGAAATATTGGGATGAACTTATCTCCGCGGATAATTTCGGACTGGTTCAGTGGACGAAATCGACACAACACCTTGATATTGCATTCAGCGTTGGCATCAGCCATTGTGGGAGAAAAACAGTGAATGCGCTTCCAGAAAATCAAGAGAATTTTCTAAATTATCAAAAATAATAATAAAATATTCCCTGCGCAAGCTTTTTTTTCTCCGAAAGCGCCTTGGACGCAGACTGAAACCACCGGTTAGACCCACATGCAAAGCGACAGTGGCAGGCGAAGCATTGGGAAGGACGGAAAACTACGAGTTTTGGGATCCAAAATCATTGGAAAAAATCTAGAATCAAGACAAAAAAAGAAGCAGTTTGAGAGCGGTTGTTGTTTAAAATGCTCTCAAGCCAAACTCAGGTGCACTCAAGCGGTGAGGAACAGATGGAGAGTTGTAAACGAGGAGTATAGTCCAAACTGGTTCGGGCGGTCTGGATAGGCTGCAGGCTTCTCCGGAGCATGCCTTGCATCACTGTCATCCCTGCTCTCTCACTGGGGGCGGGGCGTGTTAAAGTAGCGACTCAAATCCTCTCTCATCAGCACCAATGAGCACAGGGATCGAGGCGCAGGGCGAAGAGCTCCAACTCTGCTTTATATTTACCTGAATACTAACCAACTAAACTTTCTTAAACGTTCAATTTTGACAATCCAACACTTGCAACTTGCACACAAACTGAAAATATTGTATCTGATGAGATGTTTACTGTGGTCCGTAGTTTCTGATGGGAGCATCACTCTCTTTTTTCAGGTCTGCACCAGACTGGTCGTCATGGCAATGCTGTTTTGCATGTGTGGGATGCATGTGGGAACCACAGGCTCCATAATTTGTCCCCACAGAATTAAAGGGATTTTCCATTGATGTAACATCGGGCTGTAAAGTTAAGTAACCTGCAACAGAGATCACAAAAAAAGAAAGAAAAAAGGGATCAATGTCACAGGTATCCTCACCTTTAGTCTGCAGTATGAGACAAGCTTCACAGATGCTGGATCTTGCACTTTCCACAATGCACCTGTGTCTTTCATGAGATCCTCCCTGCCTGGCCACTTCCTTTCAAAGCCATAGAGAACATTGGGTTATACAGCTGCCATGATGACTAAACAGGTCTTCATGTGTAAATTGGACAATCAAATACCCATCTAACGGTTATTTTTTGGAACACTGTTTCATCCTGTCTTTGCAGATTTTTTCTGGCATCCAGGTCAGGGTAATTCTAAGACCTTCAGTATGATCCAGCTGGATTTCTCTTTTTAGTCCTTGAAGATGTTTCACCTTTTATCCCGTTCAAACTGAGTGGCGAGAACTTTCAGATCTGTATCATCACCCCCAAATCACATGTCTGCTCATTAATGATCCAGGACTCACACACTCCAAGGTGTGTTTCTCAACCATTTACACCACAAGGCATGTGAGTCAATTAGCTATGTGATTTGGAGGTGCAATACATATCTGTGACTTCCTATCAGTCACTTAGAACCGGAGAGACCACTTGTATGAAAGGTGAAATGTCTTCAGAAGCAAAAAGATAAGTCTCTGCCGAATCATTTAGGACTGCATTATTGACTCAAACAGTTCTGTAACAGCTGGTTAATGACGTTTTGCACAATATAGCATCAAAAGCTGCAACCAAGTTACCAGTTAATACAAAACTCTAATGATCACTTTTATTGAATCTATGTTAAATGTAATTATAATGTGCAGCGTGGTATGCAGTACTGAGCTAACTTCATACAAAATCCACCTAAATCAAATCAATACCTGGTATGATCAAGCTTTCCTTTAAACCAGCACCGATTCATCAATAGGCGCCATTACACACTGTTTCTAGCAACGTATTTTTGCTTCTGCCTCTTCATGCCATCCCACACTCACTCCACTGTATTGATCTGAGGACTCTGTGGAGGCCATATCACGTGTTGAAGGAATCCCTGTAATAAAATACTTTTACTATAACCTTTATTGCCCCTTTGTATGGAGTGCTAAATAAACTGTAGATAAAACGAAGCTTCTCCGTAACACTGATTTCTGTTTATTTAAATCACTTTAGATAGTTGGTATCATTTTTCGGACAGAGTGAATTCTCCTTTGAATCGACAATCTTTGGCCCATTGATTAAGTTGTTTGCTTGTACCTTTGGCGCCATCATGCGACGACTCATGCAAGTCGATCATGATACTTTTGAAAATAAATGCACATTATTTTTGTATTCGTTCAGATTAATTAATGAAGACAATAGAAATGTGGCAGCAAATACTATTTTTGATTAGAAGATCTAATTAAACGATACAACATAAGCGAACCGTCAAATCTTATTGGATAAACTGAACGCATGCGCATAAACGGCTCTCATTCTCGGGTATGTTTGATTTGCTGTCTTTCGTCAGCCGTCTAACTCTTTCCCATCGACGCAGTAAACATAGCACCGCCCACCCGCCTGTGCCTGCAGGAAACCCAAGCGTACACGCTGTCAAATCGAGCCAGTGACCACATCAGCCTGGGAAGCTCCGCCGGCTGAGAGACTGCTGGCTCATCCATCGTTAGCTTTTGTCACAATCTCATTCGGCCCATCGAGAATTTACACGTTTCAAGGACTGCTATTATATTCTGTCGTCATTTGTTAATCTCGTTTTTGCTCCTCGTTGACAATGGCTGATCCTAAATACGCAAACTTGCCAGGAATTGTAAGTGGATAACGCTAGCAAACAGATAGCTAGACTGCTATTTGGTAATGCTAACACCAAACTGTGACAGCCAAGTTCGCTAACATGCCTGGTGTTTGCGCTGTTGTTTGTTTATTGTTTGTAAACACTGTACAACTGGAGCCGGTAATTGTAGATTCTTAGTTGCTTATCTTTCTGGTAGTATTGTGTCTTATGATAAACGCCCCAGAGAGAAACAAGGGTTAGCATGTCCGTGTTGTTGAATGGGCCGGGGCGTTGGCCAGGCTAACGGCAATACACAGGATATCTAACCGTGCCATTTGTTGTTTACCTCATTGTTTCAATAGGCATTTAACGAGCCGGATGTGTACGAGACCGGTGACCTTCCAGAAGATGACCAGGCTCAGTTTGAGTCGGTAAGTGGGCGTTTTGTATTCCCCGGAGGAGTCGGTTTGCTCGCTGTTAGCTATTTTGCGGCATCTTAAGCTAACCAGCTAACCACTGTTTACGCTTATTTTAAGGAGCAAAGTAGTGATTTCTGCGTCGTAATCGGCACGCATTACACCTGCCACGACTCAGCTTCTAACTATCCAATCAATAGCATGGCAAAGCACTGATGTGTCAGCAGTAGTTTAGTCATGCACTTTGGTAATCTGTTGTCACCTCATAGTAATGAAATATAAATACTGGATTTGCTTTTGTACTGTTCAAACTCACTCTGTAGGTCACTTTTTTTTTAATTTAAAAAAATGCAATACTGCAGTAATAACTACTCCTTTATTGATGTTTAATGAATAATTTGTATGGAAATCTTGAGTTTCAACAAAAAAGTATATTTTACTCACATTCTATTCAAAATGTATTCAATCACCTACCTATTACTATACCCCCCTATTTATACATGGAGAGAAATAAAGGTAGATATATAGTAGACAAATAAGCGTTTGGAAATTATCCTGAAGTTCCTTAAGGCATCAGAATATACAGTGTGTCAATGGTCTTGTGACTTCTAGAAATGGGTGTCTCCTGTCATCTAGAGTTAGTAATGGAGTTGCAAGAGTTCAGTCTTTTTTAACAGTTAAGCAGTTGAAGGATGCTGGTCTTACTTTGCTTTTAAATATTTCTGGGCTGTTTACTGACCAGCTGAGTGAATCCTAATTGGCATTTTCCCTTCCATGTTTCCACATTCATTCTCCCCATTCCCTTGCCCTTGTTTTGACTCTTCCCAACCCCCCGGGACCCTAGTTTGTACAAGTAAGACTGGCTCCATTTTTCTCTCAGTGAGCTTAAAGCCTTTTTATGCATGTTTTTTTTTTGTTTGGTTTTTTAAAAAAAATGTAATATCCACTTTTTCTACTTCTATTGATTGGGATGAAATGAGAAATAGATTGATGGCGTGACCCTGTTTGTGCTCTGTAATTCATCAAGTTTTGATTGTTTTGAAGTGCAAGAAATTGATTATTTTCCTCCTATTTGTGTTGCTCATTGAAACCTTTCAAGGGCATAATGATGTCGATGGGATAGTCAGCAGGACTAATTCACTCTTTCACTGGGTCATGCTTTGACAAACGATGAAGGCTCAGGTGTGCATCTGAGTGAGTGTGATGCTCTGACAGGGGAAAAAGGAGTGTTTGTCTATTTGTTCAAGAGATTTCCCCTTGTAACCTGTTGTCATGTTCTAACAATTGCTTCTGGACTAACCGCACATTGTTTTGACTAACCAGACTTTATAAAGGCCTCTTTACACTGTGTGATCATTTCTTGTATGTTCATTGTATGTCATAATATGCAAGATGGATATAATATAATGAATCGCAATCTGTGATGGACTGCAATGATTAGTTTTGAGGATGTTCAGTAAATACCTGGGGAGTCATCGTGTTATGGTATTGCAAGCAAAAATATGTCAGCTTCTGCAATCCACCTGCATTGTTCTCATATTTTGAAAATGTAGCCAGACAAAAATTAAGCTTTGGCTATGGGACTGGCATTTCTTTGCACCATAAGATTAGTTCTTTGCCATAGTTCCACAAGCTAATTTTTGTTTTACCTCCATCTTTGTTGTGTTTGCCTGTTACTTTATTCAAAATTTACACTTAGGGTTGTGTCGGCCCATGTAATCTAAATCATTCCATGTAGGGATGTAATAGATTGATCTCTGCATCAATACTGATCTTAATAAATAGATGTGGTTGGTGACTGATCCATGTTGAGATCCGTATTTCTTTGTCAGTGTTCGTAGAAAATTCTTTGTTTCCACCATTGTATGAATTCAGTCACAGCAAACAGCCACTTTGTAGTACGATAGTCTACTTTTGACAAACATAGAAATTGGATTACTGTCTGTTTGGTTTGTAGATATCAGTCGTAGCAGCAGTCACGCAGAAGATTTAGTCCTACAATTC